AAAAATAAAAATAAAAATAAAAATAAAAAAATTGGATGGCATAGGTTAAAAGCTTTCGGCTAACACTATACTAGAATTTCTTATATTATTACACATTCATACTCCGTTTAGGTTATTATCATCTACCCTGCTAATACTTGTCCTCCTATTATCCTTTATGTGTAGAATTTTAATCGCATTTGATCTTCTGCTCCAACACTAAGTTTGAAAATTTCCCATGCTTTTGATTTAGCAGAGTGATGATGGGACAGTGCCACTATTCTCAATTCCACGCAGTTTGATTGCAGAAAATCCATTCACAAGTCTGCTCATATGCTCTTCTTGCTTGCCATCTAGCAGTACTAGTGGCATGCCCACTGTGTCTTGGTGGCAGCATCTTATCCTTGAGGTAATGATTGGAATGTTTATTATTGATCGTGCAACAAGTTTATTCCAGTATATTTAATTCTATTTATATAATAGCCAAACTGGACTAGTTTTCCCCCCAATTTAAATTTTAAAAGCTATTTGACTTGTAGTGGCTCTCAGCTGTGGAGCTTGGACTTTTGAAGGGCCGTCATCCACTTTTGAAAGATGTTGATGTTGCGATTAATCCTGCAAAAAGTTTCGCACTAGTAAAAAATAGAGCGTCTAACAAGAGTCACAGAGTAAGCAAACTCCTGAATCTTCTGCATTCAGATGCTTTAATTGGGCACTCCCCAGACACTTTAAAAGAAATGCTGGAAGAAAGTGATGCTGCAGCTAGCAACCATGCAAGATCTGGACGGGATTCACAGAGAAATTTTGAGCTTGAAGATGAAGTGTTGCAAAAAGAGGACAATGGTACATTACAGCAGGCTACCTCTGTTGATGCAGAATTAGTCAAAGAAGAGGGAGTCAGTCCTGTAGATACTGAAAGAGGCCAAATGCTACAGACAGCACAAGTGGTTGTGAATATGCTTGGTGTGACTTTGCCTGGCACTCTAGCAGAAGAACAGAAGGAGAGAGTAATGCTTACGAATTATTTCTTTGTCTTGAGGTTAACATTACATATGCATGTTGGTGCTTTCGGTGTTGTTTGAGTTTTATGTCATCTGACATGAATGGTCAAGTTATCTAATCATTTACACAACATCTGTTTTCTTTAGAACCCCAAAAAGGAGGGAAAAAGGGAAACAAATAAGAAAGATTGGTGCTCAAGGCCGTTATTCATCATGATTTTAAACATCCTTCTGTGTTTAGACAAGTTAAATGCATGATGATTTTATTTCATGCAAGTTATACCTTTTTCCTTTGTGAAAAGACCCTAATGAGCGGAGACTCATTTAACTGTTATAATATTGATTGGATGGATTTTTCAAAGTTGTGTCACGTGTGTCTTATTGCAGTTAACAAACATTTGCACAACAAAAAATTGAAAAAGAATGTGGTATGACCTGTTTAATTTCGTATTTTGTATCCTTATAAATCTCCTGTGACATGCTTCAGAGGGTCTTGATGTGAGTACTCTACAATTAATATGTTTCAAATTTCATGGACTATATAAATGTAATCTTTTGGCTACAAACTCTACTCTAAGGCAAAGAGAGGTAATCTTTGAAATCCTGGAGAAATATTGATTATGGAGTTATGGAAACATCAGTTTATCACCATTGGACCAGCTAGGTTCCTGCAAAATTGTCAATGACTTGAGTAATTCAGTTATCGTATATTAATTGTGAGAATATCAAACATGTAATACCTTTTCATTGTGACTTCCAATTTCCCAGTTTTTTTCTCAATTAGTTATCTCAATTATTTGCTATTTGTGTCTAGGTCCTGACTGCCGTTGGTCAAGGGGAGACACTAATGAAAGCTCTGCAAGATGCTGTGCCTGAAGATGTCCGTGACAAGCTTAAGACTGCTGTTTCTGGAATTTTGCAGAATCAAGGTTCCAACTTAAAACTTGATGGACTCTTGAATATCGATCAGATTCCCAATGTAGCATCAGAGTTGAAGTCAAAGATACAAGGAAAAGTTGAACTATCAAGTGCAGGTGGGAATGAAGATCCTCATTCTTCAGACCGGAGGAAGAGTATTAGTGGTCTGGCAGATGGCTCTGATACGAGTCAATCTAGCACAGACAAGCCTTCTGGGGATCTAGAATCAGAACCTCAGCCTTCAGAGAATCTGCAATATTCCACTGATACAAGTCAGTCTCAATCATCAAATGGTCATGGAAGTGATATCTCTGGTTCAAGGATGGACACCAATGAACTAGTGAGTAATTATGAACATGCAGATATTTCCAAAGAAAAAGCTGCTGAATCTTCCGAATATAGGGGACATGGTTCAGAAGCAGATGCTAAGCCTAACTTTTCTGGCCAGTCTGAAAGGGATGGTAGCTCTGAGGATGACATCATTGACCAGGACAAAGCTGAGCAAGATGGTGGAATAGCTCAGTCAGGCATGAAAGATGATAACACCATCCAGATAAATGAGGAAAAAGTTGGGGATTCTTCTACTGCTCATGACAAGTTGATTTCATCCTCCAAGGCAGAGGAAAGATTACAGCCACAAGTGTCCTCTTCAGAGTCCCAATTGATGGAAAAAGAGGGCACCAATAATCAGAAAATAGAAGAAAACAGCATGCAGCCTGTTCCGAATCAAAATAGTTCTATTCCACCAACATTTAATGTTTCTCGGGCATTAGATGCCTTTACTGGGATTGATGATTCCACCCAAGTGGCAGTTAACAGCGTATTTAATGTAATTGAAGGTATGATCACCCAGTTGGAGGTCGAGAGAGACAATGAAATGGAAGTCAAAGATAAGAACAATGTTGATGACCCTGGCTCTGTAGCTGAGAACGATCACATCACTAATGAGAACAAGTTGGAAAAGGAAGAAGACGATCAAAATGACTTCAGCTTAGCACTTGATATGTCAGGTGATCTTCCCTTTAATAATCGAGGGAACTCAGAAAATGATTTGAGAGATAGAAGGATAGATGACAAATATTTACAAAATTCTATCTTATACAGTGGACCCAAGATTGGTTATTTTGAGGGAAACAATGCAGGGAACCATATAGGTGAGGAAAATGGAAACAGGGAACATTCTGATTGTGGCAAACTGTCACCCGACAATTCTGATATAAAAGGATATTTAAAGAAAATTTCGCGTCACAGTCCACTCTACATAACTACAAATGCTTATGTAGACCCTCTTTACACGAAATATCTCCAAAAATATCTTATTTCAAAGATAGAAAATTCCAAATCACTAGATTTGGATACAACTACTGCTTTATTTCTTGACTATTTCCCAGAAGAAGGTCAATGGAAGCTCTTGGAGCAAACCGAACATCCAACAGATTCTACAAGGGATATTGGAACTCGTGAAGGTGTTGACAGAAATGAGCAAGCCCATTTATCATCAAAAGAAGACCACGTAGATAAAATTATTGAACCATCTTATGTAATATTAGATATGGAAAAACATGAGGAACCAGATGGAGTACACGAGACAGTGAGCAAATCGAATGAAATAGTGGAAATTGGTGATGATACATCAGAGGAGTTAATGCACTTGGTTAAAACATTTATTTTGGAGTCTTTNATGGAAAAACATGAGGAACCAGATGGAGTACACGAGACAGTGAGCAAATCGAATGAAATAGTGGAAATTGATGATGATACATCAGAGGAGTTAATGCACTTGGTTAAAACATTTATTTTGGAGTCTTTGAAGGTTGAAGTTGATCGAAGGCTAAGTGCAGCTGGCATGGAAGAAATGGAGCCCTATCTTGCCAGAGATTTGGAATACGTTGCAAACTCTCTCTCTGTGGCCATAGGACATGGCACAGAGAATACATTGGTTTTGGAAGGTAGAGACCGTATTTCAGAGAAAGTTGGTACTCTACATGGAGAGCATACAATAAGAGCTATTTCAGCTGCTGTTCAGGACACCGACTATTTGAGAAGACTACTGCCACTCGGAGTTATTGTAGGCTCAAGCTTAGCTGCTTTGAGAAAATACTTCAATGTTGCCACAGTGAATGCTAGTGGCCAAGCTGAAGATGTGACCACTGATGAAGTTAGTAATTTGGAGAAAAGAAATCATGTTCAAGCGGATGAAACAAAGACTGATCAGTTGCCTTCTGATAAAATCAATAAGAAGCATGGTTTGGATGGTTTCATTAGCAGATACGGGGAAAAAACTGAATCAAGAAATCTAACCAATGACACTGTCATGGTTGGTGCTGTTACAGCTGCTTTAGGGGCATCTGCTTTACTGGTGCATCAACAGGTGAAAATCTTATCTCTTCAGAAGCTTCCATATTACGAGTTTGGTTCTTTTCTTCTAATCTGTTGACATCAAATTTACTTGTATAAGTTAGGTGCATAAGTAATCTATTATTAGTAACCGAAATAATCCATTAAAACCACCAGATGAGCGACGGTCGATGCATGTACAGAACTTAATCATTTTGTTTTTAAGTATTGTTATCCTGGTATTGCCAAATCAAAGTTGTCAAGTACACAACCAAAGTTCCCCACCAGGCTGCATTGTGTTTGACCTTGCTGCTCGGAACTTGTTCACTCTTCTCCAAAGTTGATCCTCAAGCCTGACACGGCTTCAACACAACAGAACACACCTTTGAGGTCTTCACTCTACACCATGAGACCACAGAAGAACATGGTGTTGACTGAATAATAAATTGCCCAAATTTGTGGCTCTATATCATCTACTAAGAAACACTCAGTCATGTCATTTCTACCACCTTCCGAAATAGTCAGTCAGATCCTGCCTAAATAAAATAAATTGCGAGTGAGAGGGTGTCTTCTTCTTGCAATCTTTATGTTCTAGAGAAGAAACTCTTTGGGGACCCTTGATGTGGCCAAAAAGTTACTCATGTGATACAAGAGTGCATCCATCTTCTCCACGTATCACCATCTTTTATTCGCAGAACCACCTCTAAAATCCATCTCCCTCCCACAGTTCTACAGCCGCCATATGTAGTCTTAAGGACAAAAATTTGGCTAAGGGCTTGTACACTATTTTACTAAACTATTAGTTTTATAGTTCAACGTTAACCACCCCAGCCTAATTTTAAAGTTATGAGAGAGTAAATCATAGGATCTTTAGATCAGGTTTTGTGATTATCTTTTGATATCCATGTGGGCTTGGTAAGATCTGTTATGCAGTGTAGATTATTCTTGCATCTTGTTTTATAAGCACATATGAAGTTCAAAATGATCTCTTTCCCCTTAGAGTCTAGTTTAAATATCACATTTCACATGCATATACAACAGTCTAGGATCATTTTTTTCTCCTTTTGTCTTTCCATCTGTTTTCTGGATGCTCTGGCCTCCACCTGTTGCAGTACTGTACATTGGAAGAGGATTTCCATCCTGTTGGCCCAACCTATTGTGTTCTTTGAAATTTTCATTTATATATGTGCTTTTATAGGATAGAAATCTACTTTCATGACAAACTTGAGTAACACCCCTTCGTTCATAATCAATCAAACACAAGGAGGGAAAGGTAGCTTCCATTTCCTAGAAGCTACCCTTTCCATACCTCCTAGCTTCCTTTCCTTTAAATTTTCTATCCCTTCCCAAGATGGAACATAAAACAGCACTAATTCCTGTTCATAAATAATCAGGCATTGTATTCTTTCTGTACATGCTTCTCATTTCTCTTGGTGATGTGTGTGCTTGAAGGATTCATACAATGGCAATCAGACTCCTGGAACTTCATCAAAGTCCTTCAAGCACAAAGAAAATCATCAGAAAGAGCTTGGCAAGCTTGAGGAGGAAATTTCTGAAAAGAGCCAGAATAACATTGTCTCAAGCCTTGCAGAGAAAGCCATGTCAGTTACTGGTCCGGTGGTACCCACAAAAGAAGATGGTGAAGTGGATCAAGAAAGGTCTGACCCTCTCATCCATGAATTGTATTATGTTTCAGATGTGTATTTGCCCTATTCCTATTCTCCTTTTGTTGATAATACACGAGCCTTTTTCCTTCTGCAAACAGACTGGTGGCAATGTTGGCAGAATTGGGACAAAAGGGTGGCATGATGAAGCTGGTTGGTAAAATTGCTTTGCTTTGGGGTGGTATACGTGGTGCTATGAGTTTGACTGACAAGCTTATCTCATTTCTGCGCATTGCTGAACGTCCCTTGTTTCAGAGGTAAATTAAAGTTGCTGAATTTCTTTCCCCATCTCCCCCTGTGCATTGAAACTAATGTGAGTGTAATCATTAGTAACTATGCAAGATTTAAATTGTTGCAAGCAATACAGTATTTGGTATTTTTTCCTTCTGTTGGTGGGTGGGTAGGTGGGTGGGCTGGGAGGAAACAGCTTGCAAAATATCAAACGTGGTTTAAATGAGTAGACACCTATCTAGGGTTTCTTGCAAAATGTTTTGGCGAAGGGTCTATGATCTAGGACAGCTATGTAAAATCAAAATAGGGCTGTTTTGTACAGTAACTTTGACTAGGAATCATTGCTAGGGTTCCTTAGGTATCACACAACTCAAGAAGCATATAATTGTTGAAATTTCTGAAATATCTCTCCCCTTTTTATATTAAAAATATCACTAACTATATATAGAGTTCTAAGTACTCCTAATTCCAAAAGATTAGGATTTCAAAGTCTCTAGGACTCCAAAGCTCTTGATTTTTAAAAATTAGAAGACTAAAACAAACTAGGATTAGGACTCTAAATTCTAACATATCCAATACTAGAGTTTGACTCAAAGACAACCCACGGGCCAGGTTATGACCCTATAATGTAAAGTTCCATATAGATCTTTGTCTTGATGGAAAGCTAATTTCATTGTCTTTCACATGTTCAAATTTGCGTTTCCATAAGCATCTTATGAATTCCATCAACCTTCCAATCCTTAATGTTAGCAAGGTACAATAATTGAAATCCGCAAGGCTGAGATGTGAATGCTGATACGGATGTGTTAGCAAAGGATAAACTTAAAAATTAATGCATTTTACATAATGCCAGTGGCAGTAGTTGGATAGGATATGAGGGAAAGTCATTAAAATGTTTTGGCCATGTGCGTCAGACTGGTGAGGAAGATTGACATGGTCCACACCAAAGCAAGCCTAGGGGAGGACTAAATTATACATTAAAAATAAGTGGAAAATACAAAATTGCATGCAGTTTAACTGAAATTGTGGTTACAACTGGAGTTCTATAGAAAAAACAATTCTTATATTCATAACTAACAGGAAGTGCGTCTTTGTCGCCATAAAGGTCTTTATTATCCCATTTATCTTTTCTTTTTTTTTTCGCAAAATATTTGACCATTTATGCTTTTTTTCATTGAGTTTGTATGGGGTACATCAATATTTTATCTTACACAGCTCTTTCTCTGATCCTGCTTTCTTGCCCTAGGATTCTTGGGTTTGTCTGCATGGTGCTTGTTTTATGGTCACCTGTAATTGTTCCCTTCCTTCCTTCACTTGTGCAAAGCTGGGCAACTGGTAACTCTTCCAAAATCGCAGAGTTTGCTTGCATTATCGGCCTCTATATTGCTATCATGATACTGGTCATGTTATGGGGTAGAAGAGTTCGAGGGTATGAAAATCCAATTGAGCAATATGGGCTGGATTTGAATTCATTGCCACAGGTATGATTTTAAGTCATTTCGGAAAAAAAAAAAAAAAAAAAAACCAGCTGGTCATTGAAACTTAATGCCTGTCTGTCTCAGTATTTAATCAGTCCTTAGCTTAATGATGGGATATGCCCATATTTGTTATGCAGGAAACTCTTGCTGTATTTGAGGCTTATATAGTCAGTGTTGTATGAGTTAGTTTGGAATAGTTTAATGAACTCTTGAGGGAGTTTTCTGGAATCCATGTAAATGAATGAAGAACTTGATATCATATGAAAGATGATAACAGTACTTTCTTATTTGTTTTGCCATGCATGGCTTGAAATTATTGGCAATTTTTTGGTCTCTTTCAATCCATTCAACTCGATGCAAACACAGATTTTAGCCACAATCGTGGCACTGGCATGATTTTTTCTCCAAAAAGTTTCATCTGGTTTCCAGTTAATTGACAATTACTTTGTCTCATTACACATCCAAACTTCATTTTTTTCCCTTTTTCTTGTTTGTGATTTGGCAATTAATGCATTTACTTTAATATTTTCTCAATGTCAGGTTAATGTTGCTTAGCTAAACAAAAAGAGCTAATGTTGGCTGGCTTTTTTGCAGATCCAAAATTTTCTGAAGGGTTTGATTGGAGGAGTCATTCTAGTTTTAATGATACAATCTGTAAATGCATTACTTGGCTGTGCCCGTCTTTCATGGCTTTCCACTCTTCCTTCAACGTCATTGGATGCCATAACATGGCTCAAAGTGTATGGGCAAATGCTTATACTAATTTGTCAAGGCATTGTAACAGCAACTGGAGTTGCACTTGTGGAGGAATTGCTCTTCAGGTCATGGTTACCTGATGAAATTGCTGTCGATCTTGGATACCATCGTGGAATTATCATTTCGGGACTTGCATTTTCTTTATTTCAGCGGTATGGCTCATTTTCTTTATTTCAAACAGTTCCTGCCTTTTGTCATTTATGTTCTTTTTACATTCTTATATTTTCAGAAATTCACAAAAAAAAAAATGGAATATTGATGTAGTTACAAAATGATTATTAGATGAATACTTTTTCAAATATCTTTCAATTTTGTAATAGAACTATAGTGCTAATTTGATGCTACTGGCAGACTTCTCCTCCTGCGATTTCATCATCTATGGCCCACCCTACCTGTTTTCTCTCTCTCTCTCTCTCTCTCTCACACACACTCAGAAAAAAACTCGTAGGTCATTTCATATTCCTTTCTTTGCTTGGCATCCTAGTCTTCCAATACTGTTTCAGATGTTGATGCTCTCCAAACACCATATGCCACAGATTTTTTCATAAACCTNGCACTCAGAAAAAAACTCGTAGGTCATTTCATATTCCTTTCTTTGCTTGGCATCCTAGTCTTCCAATATTGTTTCAGATGTTGATGCTCTCCAAACACCATATGCCACAGATTTTTTCATAAACCTTTGCTTTATGGGATTTCAGGTCGCCATGGGCAATACCAGCGCTATGGCTATTGTCATTAGGCCTATCAGGGGCTCGACAGAGAAGCCAAGGTAGCCTCTCCCTTCCAATTGGGTTGCGTGCAGGGATATTGGCTTCAAGTTTCATCTTACACAAAGGTGGCTTTTTGATCTATCAGCCCATTTTGCCAGTCTGGGCAACTGCTACTCATCCTCTCCAACCGTTTAGTGGGGTTGTTGGTCTCACCATCTCTTTGTTATTGGTAATGGTTCTATATCCGAAGCAGCCTCTTGATAGGAAGAAAATAAAAAGAGCCATCAGGGAATAAACAGCGATGCACACTTTAATAAACAAGAGGAGGTTCCNGTTTAGTGGGGTTGTTGGTCTCACCATCTCTTTGTTATTGGTAATGGTTCTATATCCGAAGCAGCCTCTTGATAGGAAGAAAATACAAAGAGCCATCAGGGAATAAACAGCGATGCACACTTTAATAAACAAGAGGAGGTTCCAGAGATATGCCTGCATATTTGACGGTGTTTGTGGTTTGACAGCAAGATAGAGTTGGAATAACTTGGTCATTGATGTGAGCCTTCAGGTGTTATGGTCTGAAGTTGCGTACTTTGAAAGGATTAGAGAAAAAATGATGAGGAAACAGAGGATATGAATAATAAAGCAAGAAAGCTGGAGATGGGAAGTTTGATGAACTGCTTGCTTTCTTCTTTGTACATGATGAAGTTCATTGTAATATGAGGCAATTTTGTATCAAATAAAAGTACATAGTGTAAATTCTGTTTATACAAATATTCCAGTCTAGCTGCATTTGCAAATGAGGGTTTTATTTCTATTTGATTTCCGATTTTAGTTTCATTGCAAGAGCAGAGGCTAATTCTACCTCACAGCTGGTTGTAAAAAGCCCAAACTCTGTTTATCAGGCTCTTTTTTTGTGTTTAACCTACATTGAGATGATGGTACATTTGTCTTGTTCATTGTTTATCCTTCCCACTGCAATGAGATTGTGTTTAGGGTTTATGCAAGGTATGGATCGAAGATGAGACTCCTACATCCAGAGATTTGTTATATGACAAGGAGGAGGAAATGATATACATGGATCTGAAGTTCACATTGATCAAAACAGTTTCAACAACCAGATAATCCGAAGCCAACTTAACTAACAGCCTGGAGACCCTGGTGCTTGTATATAGTTCGCTAGTGAATCCATCTATATCGATTATTCTTGTGTTGAATAACATATTTCAAGAGATTTACAGGGCCCATTGCCATTTCACTGAATATGTCTGGCTTCTTGTNATGTGTTGAATAACATTTCAAGAGATTTACAGGGCCCATTGCCATTTCACTGAATATGTCTGGCTTCTTGTTGAGGACCACCGAAGAGGGGAAAAACTGTGGAGTCTAACCAGTCATCTGCTCCATGAAGGAACGTGCCCACTGTGAACTGCCTTGCTATTTCCTCAGTACAGTTCTTTCTATAACCTGCCCACGTAACCCTTTGTCTCGTGTCTGAGCCAGGTCCAGAATTCATGTACTCGATGTACTCTACGGTATCCAAACTGCTATAATTATTCCACTTGTACCAACCCTGTGGGTGTATCAAGTCCCCAAGATAACTATTCATGATTATAGTCCTTGAATAATTCCTCCATGGCCTACCCAAAAAGGTTGAGAAGTTTATCCTATCAGCCTCATCAAAGTCTGGTGCAGCGATTATGGTGCAGTTCTGTAATGATATACCAGTGTTCTGATTTGGGTCTTCTCGCCCTTGAGCAGTGATCATATTTTTCTGACCAGGGTTTGGTTTGCGAACAAGTATGAAACAGTTTTGGAAAATTGCGGCTGCATTTCCAAAAATGAAGTCAATTGTACCTTGGATTTCACATTCACGATAGAATTGGCGTAGAGAATGAGCATAAAGGGTGTCTTGATGGGAAATTATCTGACATCGATAGAAGGCAGCATTGGAAGTAACCCTGAGGGCAACTGCCTGGTGCTTCTGAGGGCCTGCTGTGTTGAAGATTGACAAGTCCCTTGCTAAGAATTTGTCTCCAACCACAGCTGCAAATATGGAAGTATCAGTTATTCCAACATGAGCTTGTTGTGGAAGAACTCAAGACATCCAAACTGGTGTGTATCTTTGAAGATGTAAAAACAGATGAATACTCTGAAGCACAAAAAAATTGGGGGGAAAATTTGTGAAATCTATGGAACTTACTTAAGGTGGCTGAAGTGAAGGTGGAAAACCNGACATCCAAACTGGTGTGTATCTTTGAAGATGTAAAAACAGATGAATACTCTGAAGCACAAAAAACTTGGGGGAAAAATTTGTGAAATCTATGGAACTTACTTAAGGTGGCTGAAGTGAAGGTGGAAAACCCGTCAACGAAATTCTTGAAACCCGTGATCACTGTTGAGTTCGTCCCATCTCCAACCAACATTATGTTAACCTTCTCTCGAGGTATCACCACATTCTCATGGTAAATTCCTGCCTTTATTTGAATCACATATCTTGTCAAGCTCATGTTTGGCGCCATCTTAACTGCCTCGTTGATCATTGTGTAGTTACCACTGCCATCTCTGGCAACGGTTAGATTTGGCCTCATCCTGGGTTCTGTTTCCATCATCCTCCGATCATTACTCGTCATCCAAGCCAAGAACCGGTCATCAGGCAATTTGTTCATCAATATCCGTGGATTGTTGAGGGTTTCTTCACGGTGTATGGTGTCCATATACTTGATCATAGCCAAGCAATTGCTGATCCTGTGAGATATAGGGGTCAGCAAGTTCTGGAGGGGTTCTTTAACACCCTTTAGACCCTTTGAATCGGATTCTTCCAAGTCGGAGAATCCGTCGATGCATGTGTTCTCATTTGTCATGGCTGCACTGAGTAGGGTTTCAGTGTTGCCATATGACCTATGGAGATAACCAACGGAAGAAGGGAGTGCACGCAAGTCATCAATGGCTTGTCCAAGTTCATAAATAGTTTGATCTAACATTTCCACACAATCATCAAGAGCATTCTTTTCCAGGGAACCGAAATCTTGGCTGGGGAGATTATTCAAGATATCCAGACGGGTACTCACAACTTGTTTCATGGTTTGATTAATTGCTATCTCAAGAATTTGATGGAAAGTAGTGGCATTATTGGAGTCAGGAATGGTAGAGAGAGTGATGAAGCACAAAGAAGGGTGGAGAGTGTTGGTGCAGGATTTCTTGATAATCGGATGTAGAGGTGGAGCAGAAGATGGGATTAACGGGTGATTATCTCTTGTTGAATCTGTGGAAAATGACGAGTCGTCACTGAGAAGTGAAGCAAGGAGCAATGCAGTGACGGTGAGAAAAGCGGAGAGTATGATGGTCGTTGCTCGGTTTCTGGTCAGATTTTTGGAGGGCTGAGAGGAGTTCTTGATGGCGGTGGGGTTGGTGGGCTCCATTAGTTCTGGTCTCGCAAGAAAGAGGAAATGATTGAAAGAACTATGTTTGGGGGTACAACAACGCACAAATAAAGCAGTAATGCTAAACCGGCGGTTGGGTTTAAAGTTCTGAATAGGGAATAGACGTCATGGATAAAAAGAAGACGAAATATGAAAAGAAAATGATTAGTTAGCTGTGAGTTTTTCTTTGGTCAAAGTATATTTGTCACTGCAAAGCTGATGGCTCCAATCTCAACTAGATTAGTTGGATATCTAAGTTTTTTTTTGGGGGTCAGGCACTATTACAATGGAAATGGACAACACGACCTTATGGTCAAACAGCAGCCGGACGGGAACAGGCAAATCGCAAAGTTAATTCAGGCTAAATTTGGTTAACAGATGTAACAATGTCAAAAATTCTAGCAAAACATTAAGGAATTGAAATTCAAAATTTGAAAAGCTAAAATCATTGAATATGCTATAGCGAACTAGGAAAATAAAACAGATTACTAAATGGAAAGATTTGTTAGCGTGGACAATTCAATTCAAATAGATTTACCATCGTTTTGTGGTGTCAAATCCAGACATTTTTTAAATGAATGCTTATCTCAGTCAACTACGATCAATTACATATGAAACTTGGCATCGAATCAAAATTTTTCTAAACGAAATGAAGACCAAAGAGGAAGTAGAAATATTGGAACGTACGCAAGCAGTAGGAAAAGACTGAAATTTGATATTTATTATTAATTCTGACAATTCCAAACATCAAATATTCAATCTTCTTTCTAACATAACAGAAAAGACTAAAAAAGAAAGCCAAAAGCCCAAAAATAAACAACAAAACCCACCATTGAAAACAATGATATAACAAAAGAACTAGAAGAAACGGGAAAACACAAGCCCCTCTCACTGTCTCTCTTCATGGAAACAATCTCTCAAGTGTGTTTTTATTCAACAACTCACACAAACTTCCACTTGATCCGCCCGACACTTCATCATCTATCTACTCAACAGCCAGTGGAACTGATTCAGCCTGAAAGAGAATCACATCACAAAACCACAACAAAGAAAATGCCTTGTCAACAAAGCCCCCCAATACAAAACAAAAACAAAAACAAAAACAAAAACAAAAAAGGTGGGGTGGGGGAATACATTGATGCAAGTACATGAATATGAAAAGCCAAATTGATGCCAACTTAGCAGAAACTTACCAACTTACGGTACTTGAGAGCATAAAACATTTCAAGATAGCGACGGATCTCAAGACGATCAAGCTTTGACACATACTTCCAAAATCCATAAACCCCAGCCAGTGTCAATAGCCTCTGTGAGTAAATCTGCCATGTGAACCTACAGAAAGAAGCAAAGAAACAAGGTCAAAACCCCCCACAAATTTTATCAGAATTTCTGTATTTTTCAATACAATTTTAATAAGGGGTGTGCAGTGTGCTTGCTTACTTCTCCTGTATGCGTTTCAGGCCTCCCGCAGAAATACTGTCCCAATGAGAAGGATCTTTCTTGGACTTCTCAAAGAAGTTGATGAGAAGCTCAGCTACCTGCTCACCATGATAAGGATCAATGTGGAAGCCAGACTTTCCATGTACAATGATCTCGGCCGGACCACCGTGGACGGTGGCAAATGTGGGCAAACCACAGGTCATGGCCTCGACCACGGTCAAACCAAAGGCCTCATAAAATGCAGGTTGCACAAAAGCTCCCTTGGTGTCGGCAATGTAACGATAGAGTTCACCATTCCTCACCCGGTTCATCTGGGAAGAAATCCATCGGAACTGGCCATTCAACTTGTAGGTTTCAATAAGCTCGTACATCTTCTTCATTTCTGCTTGCTCTTCCAAATCTTTCGATTCTTTCCTCCGGTCTCCACCAACCACAACAAGGTTGACCAACTCTCTGAGCCGAGGACTCTTGGCATACCATTCAACAAGTCCTGTCAGGTTCTTCACACGATCCAACCTAGCCATGGTGAACAAAATAGGCTTCTTCCGATCTTTCAAAACACACCTGTGAGAAACCAAAATATCAGTTTCTATTAGCCAAACACAGGACAAGAACAGGAATGGAAATATGTGTCAGGGGAGCTAGAAAGTTACAGGTGTTCATCATTATCAACGTCACTGAAAAGAAGCTCCTCAATTTCAGGGTGAAGTGCTGTCAATCTCTTGTCCTTCTCTGTGTAAGGAAAGTAGAGGTTCATGTCTGCCCCTGGCGAGACTATGTTAAATTTGGGGTCGAACACATCAATGCCGTGGACGACTCTGTACAATCCAGGCATGGTGAAGGCCATATGGCTCTCGTACTGTCCCACAGTGTCCTTGCTGAAAACATTAAAATCGTAAACATTTAGGGGGGGCATAAGAACAATGCAGAAAAATTAATTAAGCCTAGTAACAAGGGCATATACCTNAGTGTCCTTGCTGAAAACATTAAAATCGTAAACATTTAGGGGCATAAGAACAATGCAGAAAAATTAATTAAGCCTAGTAACAAGGGCATATACCTTCCAGCTATTTCTTGGAATGTGCTGGTGATGATGAAATCAGTATGATTCATTGCAATGAGATCCGCTGTAAATTGGCACGAGAAGTGATACTTTTCGTCGAAGTTTTTCAAATAAATGTCAGAATCAGGATACTTTGTTTTCTCTAATGCATGAGCTATGGTACACTGCAAAAGAAAGCCATAAAAATGAGAAAATTTTAGTCCTCAGTTGCAAAGTGGAGAAACAAAATGCAGTTACAATCATGGGGAGAGAAACCGCAGCAGCATCTACCTGGGTTACACCTAATTTGTGAGCAAGCAAGGAGGCAACAAGGTTACCCTCACTATAGTTGCCAATGATCAAATCTGGCTTGGCCTGCAACTCTGCAGCAACTTCTTTTGCGACATCCTAATAAAGTTAGAAGCTTATGAAGGTTAGAAAATGAGTTTGATGTAGAATTTGGTTACTAAACTAATGGATGTCAGACAAATTGATATATAAACTTGTTTCATCACCTCAGTGAAAGTCTCCATATATGGCCAAACTTCAAAACGAGAGATCCATTTGCGGACAATTCCCTTCTCGGTTCTAAAGGGAACTCGCAGTATATGTGAATACTCTGCTCCAAATACTTTCTCAAGACGTTGGTTGCAAGTGGTGCCTACTGCATCAGGCAGAAGTCGAGTCACCTGGATAGAACAGCAGGATCTAGCATTAGAGGGAGGAACAGAAAAACCCAAAAAACTGAAGGAAAACAGAATTTCTGAACACTCACAATGAGAATACGAGGTTTAACATCAAGTCCTTGCTCCTTTATACGCTTAAGCATCTCACGCTCCAAGGCAGGAACTTGATCCAAAATGTAAACAACCTATACGAGGCAAATTGAAGACAGAAAAGTTGGTATGTACCGACACTACAATGGGAGGAAGAGAAGTTAGGGATCCTTTTTCAGAACTATACCTGGCCACCAGTGTCGGGGTAGCCCAAGACATTTTCTTGGGCAAAGTAGCCATGGGGAGAAAGGATTACAACATTGAACACCATAGGGATTCTCCCCAGAAATTTCTCAAGAGTGCATGAATCTGGAGCCTCAAGAAGGTCCAAGAGCATTTGAATCATCTCCAGAACACGCTCTGCGGTGTCACCCCACCCTCTTTCCAGGCCAATCTCTTGGAACTTATGGTCAATTTCAGAATATGCGGTCTCTGGAGCAAGTGTAGAGAGATATTCCTCTGCCTTCCTAAGAACATTTTGGAGAGCATTTAGGTTTTGTATTCTGTCATTCAACATTATTGTCTGCACAAGAATATCAAGTATCAAATATCAAACAAATACTTCAATAAAATTATAACAAATATATCTATCCCCGTAGAATTTTCCCTTCTGGGAATTTTTTTTTTTAATGTTTGCTTCTCGGTAATTGTTGAATTCACTAATCCATAGTCAAATCATCAATTGAGCATTGTAGTAACTCGGAATGAGAGAGATGGACAAGGCCAACAAGACTACCTTGCCCTTGTACTGGTGGACTCGAAGAAAATCAAGAAGTGGTTGCATGCTATCTCTGTCGTGGAACATTTTTGCAGAGAGGTGCCTGTTGAGGAACTCAACTCCATTACCAATGGACTTGGTTAGAGTAGGGCGTGGAAAAGATGAGGTGAATGGTTCAAAGTCCAACTCCAGAACAAAGTTGCCATTGCAGCTGCATCAGAACAGACAATAACATTGATATGAATGAATGAATTGAGCAGGCAAAAAATAATAAATTAGAACCTGCAAAATTAAAAAAACATACGTTCCATTCACAAGTTCTTCTTTGAAGTGCAGATAGTCGGGCACACTCAATTCCTCGACAACAAGGGCATTAACATTAACTCGTACATATTCCCAGACACCTGGCCTTAGACGAATAGCAAGTGCAACCCATGGAGGCAACACTATTGCTTCCTGTGTATATATACAAAAGGGATTTGTAAAATATTTGTGACATGCTTGACAATATATATATTTATTTATTTATGATTAATAGCGGAAAGGAGATCTTTCAAGGGCCAATCAATCATACTTGTGTGGATTTCAGAACTTCAACAAATGCACCATCATGCAGTTTTTGCTGGTCGCCGTTTGTGATTGCCTCAAACTCAGCCAGAAGCTGGTGTGGTTTTAAGATTCCTTTTCCATGGCTTTCAATTCTACAATACCCCCACAAAAAAAAAATTAATAAAAAACCGTGTAAGCAGACTATATATAATTCATTCTTGGTTCTGTGTTAAGCATCTATAGCAAAGAAGACAACAACAACATGGTGCATATAACAGAAGACATGTTTTGATTAGGATGTAGTCCCAACGGAGTGAGTTGAGTACCTTGACAGAAACAGTAAAATCTCATTTCGATGAGAGGACAGAGTAGCATCCAGACGCTCGCGAAGGCTGTGAACTCGAGTCAGAACACGTTCGGCCATGGCACTTTCACAAATTCACAGACCAACTTTATCTGCAATCAAAAAACAACAATAAAACTATAGTTTCAGAACAATGGATGAGGGTTTATCAAAACACAAGTACACCTATAAAAGGAGACGATGAACAGAAAAGTCAATGATCCATTCCACCAAGTAAACTCAATCTAGAAGACGAGAATGTTAAAAATTCAACACCTACCACCAAACACCACCCACTGACATAAGGACATTTATTAGATCCTGATTTCATTATTAATTAAAAATAAAAACAATATTTGCGGGACAAACAAGCCTAAAATTATGGCCTGACTAAATCTACACATAATAAATATATATATTAAAAAAAAAAAAAAAAAAAAGCCAAGATCGACTTTGTTTTGCAAAACATATTAAGACAAAGATTAAACTAGTCATAAAAATTTAAAAAAAAAAAAAAAAAAACCCAAAGCTGAGCATTCTCAGAAACCTTAAACCCATAATGGGATTTGAACCAATATCATGTCTGTGAACTATGAACAAAAGTGAGCAGCAAAGGACCAACACTAGATCTTCTTATATTTAGTCTCTGCTTTCCTGATCCGTAAGAATATCGGAATCTAAGTGCAGTGAAAACGGAAGAAAAAACAAAACATGTTCTGCAGATCAATATTTTCTGAGGAACAGAACAGAGATCAAAGTGGAAAGTTTTGGGTTAATGATCAAGGGTTGATCTAGCGCATCACTGTCATTTAACTAAGATCAAAGCTAAAAGACGAAGCTTTTCGAAAGATTTCGCAAGCAGGTAAAAGTTATAACATGAGCAAGATCAATAAAATCCTAAAGCAGAGGAGCAACTGGACAAAAAAAAAAGGAAGAATTATTAGCACAGACCAGAGTGAAGCTATTCGCGGGAAGAGCACAGAAGAAAAAGAAGAGGAAGCAGAGATAGAATTGTGAAGAATGCATTGGAGCCAACGGAATTTATACAAGAGGAGGAGGCCGAGAAATTGAGGAATTCACGGTGGTTACACCTATAACTTTGGCCTCAAAATGGAATGTTTATGAGGAAAATCTCAGAGAGCACACAGGAAGATTTGTGTGGCTAGACGTACAGTAATTTTTATATTTGATCCTTCTGATCTTGCCGGAGTTTCTGATCTAGCCGGAGTTTCTGATCTAGCCGGCGTTTCTGATCTGTGGTTTTATCCTTGAGCAAGAGGTTTGAGAAGTCAAATCTCCGGCGATGGGTATGAGACGCTGGAAATAGTAATTTGTGTAATTAATATTTTAATTTTTGGTTGCAATTAAGATCAGAAACTTTTCAGACAAGAAAGCTCGGATTAGTGCTTTCTTCACTTGCCATAAATAAAAAACAGAAATAATATTACAAAAGATCTCAAGAACCATTCCAATTTCTTCCGATTTCAAAAATCATTAGTCTCATAAAACCGACCAACCAAAGCAGTCGGTACCAAGTTACTAAAAAGAAATTTGAAAAACCAAGATTTTTTTCTTCAACAGAGCTGAGGAGAGGAGATCAAGTAAAATCTCCAATAATTAATTAAGATCCAATTCCATAACAACAACCCCCTCCCCAAAAAAGCCTTAGGCATCGAACCACCTACGACATAGTAAGTAAATACATATACGGAACCATTAGTGCTCTGCAAAAATTGGTGTAACTAAAGAATATGAGTGAAGCAATTTGGAGCATCTACCTTCCCAAAACAGCCTAAAAATAAAGCAATTGAAGCACGGAGGAGACAAATGGAAAAATAAAAGAAGCAGAATGACGAAACGAAATGAAATGAAATGAACAGAGTGAGCTTCAAAAGAGCAATGAAGGGGTGTGGCTTTTGATGAAGAAAGAGCAAGCCTTGCAAGCCTTTTTATAATGAATGAATGAATGAATAAACCCCTCTACGGAAAATTATACAAGTGGTGGTAGTAGAAACGTAGAAGAATTGAATAAAAATAATGTTAAATGGATTTACACATTAAATTTGATAATTTTAATGAGTCTCACAATAAAATTAATAATTATAATTTATAAATTTGTATAGTATTATTCGTACAATAATAATGAGTTATATACAGTCACGTGATGATGGTATTAAGGCCATAAGCTGGTTGGTCCTTCGGTTTTCGTGAAAAAGAAATGGCTCCCACACCTCACATCGCCAATTGGTCTTCCTCTCTCCTTCCCTGTAGTAGTAGCAGCAGTAAGTACGTACGTACTTTGTTTCAGCGTTCTATTCACCCAAAACCGCTTTTCTTCTCCATCGCCCCTTACCCCTGTTTGTTTCTGTTTAGTCTTTAATCCGTGGACCCATTANCTCTCTCCTTCCCTGTAGTAGTAGCAGCAGTAAGTACAGTACGTACGTTGTTTCAGCGTTCTATTCACCCAAAACCGCTTTTCTTCTCCATCGCCCCTTACCCCTGTTTGTTTCTGTTTAGTCTTTAATCCGTGGACCCATTAATTTAATCCTTCCTTTATCCACAATTTTCTTCTTCCACCGCCACTTTAGTTAGTTTTATTCAAGAAATATTACATATTTTTTATACTAACTTTATTGAGACATAATTTAAAAATATAATGTATTATAAACATTAAATTCATAGTGTTAAGATTTAATGATACTTTAATATTATAAACTATTGATAATCTAATAACTACAATTATTAAATTTTAAATTATGTCTCAATAATATTGTTTATATTTCTGAAAGTTGATTTCATAAACCTCACATACTTATGTTGGAAGAACCAATAAAAAAAAATAGACTTGGAGGCACATTAGTAAAATAAGACATAGGAAAGGGAGGTTTGGGTTTTTCTATGTTTGCTGTTGGGTTTTAGTCAATGGCAATGCCGCCGGGGACTAGTTTTGTGTTTTTTTTTTTTTTTTTTATTGTATGTTTTGGGCGCAGAGATTAAGCAGGGTCATGCTTGTCATTACAGCTGTAAATCGCATATACTTTTATACTATTATCTTAACGGACTATTTAAATTAAAAATATGGTAAAGATTTATTGAATCTTAATATTATTATCATTGATTTAGTCTCAATATTTATTAAAATTTATTATTTATTAAATAATTGTGATGAAAAGAGTTAACAAAAAAATATCAATATTTTTTATTCAAATAATAGTTTTCTATCCAAAATGCTGGTATAGTTTATTTTCTCCTGTCCTTTTACTTTTTGCATGAGGGATAACGTGTGAGCCAACACCACCCTCCACGCTAGGCCGGGTGATCCTGTGGGGGCAGTGGGAATTGCTCGAACGGAGGAGTATAGCAACCATGGGCTGTATGTTTGAGGTATTTGAGTGGTATAAGGAGGTGGTATAAAAAAAATTGTGCTTGAAGCCTATCTTATATTTTATTTGTTTAACAATTTTTACTCTTTATTATTTTTTGGGTCATAGTACTGATCTTGTATGAATAGTAACTCTTATGCCTTGTATATGGTGTTAAGCAATATTACCTACCTGTTCATATTATATTCTTGGTACAAATTAAATGAAGGTATAAGAGAATAAAATAACACAAATATCTTCCTATGTGAAGAGTTCACATATAAAAAATTTATTTTGAATTTTTTTTTATATTATATTTAAGCGTACGATATCACCATTTTTTTTTAATTTTTTTTTCTTATATTATGTTTAAGTGTACAATGTTAACAATTTTTTTTAAAAAAAATTATTTTAAATTATTTTATTTTACTATGTTTAAGCGTAAGGTGTTAACGGTTTTTTTTTTAAATTTTTTTCAAAAAAATTATTTTAAATTTTTTCTTTTTATTATGTTTAAGCATACGATGTTAACGGTTTTTTTTTTAAATTATTTTAAATTTTTTTCTTATATTATATTTAAGCGTACGGTGTTAACGGTTTTTTTTTAAGGTTTTTTTTTTTAAAAATTATTTTGAATTTTTTTTTTATATTATGTTTAAGCGTACGGTGTTATCGATTTTTTTAAAAAAAAATTTTAAAAAATATTATTTTGAATTTTTTCCTTTGTATTAGGATTAAGTGTACAGTGTCACCGGTTTTTTTAATTTTTTTTTTTTAAAATTATTTTAAATGGAATGGATGATATTAAGGATAAAATGATATATTTGTTATATAAGATATGATAGAATAGATGGTTGTTTGTAAGACCTACTATAATATTTATTAAATAAACAAATAAGGGGAAGGATAAGATAAAAATTTAAGACCAGGTATAATATATCATTAGATATGAGTAGAATAAAAATAATTTTTAACACAATTCAAATTTAATACTCAAAACAAACAGGCTCATGGAGAATAAAATCATAATGTGAGGCTTTCCGAAGAAGAAATCATAATGTGTGTGTGTGAGTGTGAGAGAGAGCAGAGACAGAGAAAGATCCATTGTGACGTACATTGCACGTCGAGAATCATGCGGTCTGCAACTGCAAGAAGATTTATAATCAAAAACTAGGATATTAAGCTAAGATAAAGTGGTTATGTCAAAATATGGTACAGCCTGTGACTGTGAGGGTTAATTAGAATACAACAATCCCCTCCTCCTCTACTCTATATAGCCTATTATCATTTCTCCCCCATAATGCCCTCAACTATGGCCTATTTGTCATTGTCCCTCTAGAAGAATTGAAATTGACCATTACATCCCTTTCAATTGCATCACTTCAACCACTATTCATTACTTTATCATCACAAAAATAATTTCCAAATTGACATACTTTATGACCATAATACCAATCTTTAAACAAATAATTTTCTCTTTTCTCTTTCCTTTCTCTTTCTTCCTCCTAAGAATGCAGATAATTGATCTCTCTTTTTCAATCAATATACTAATTATTCTCTCACGAGCAAAAGCCCATCAAACCATTTAAATTTAACGGGAAATTATAAAGGGTATACGAAATTAAAATTATTTGTCAAAATTATATTGCTCTTAATATTAAGTTATTAAGTCTATATTTTTAGAACTAAATTGTATCCAAGTACACAATTTAATTTTTTGTAATTATCTTTTAACATATTTACCCTCCTTTAAATCATGAATATTTTTTTTTGTAGTTAATTAGACTTTTAATTTTGTTTTACTTTATTAAAGATTTCCTAATATAATGTAAGAATTATATTATCACAAGATTTGCATATAACGTGGATTGTGTATATCTATGTTATTTTGATTTTTTTTTTTTGTCATTATCGTTGCCAATAAATATCTCTCTCTTCTTCTTCTCTAAATTATTAGCTATTAACGTTCAGAAAAAGCTCAAATCTATCATCCTTATTATTCTCTGACGGACACAGAAAACTTCAAACATATTGTATTATTTCTTCTACAACGTNGTCATTATCGTTGCCAGTAAATATCTCTCTCTTCTTCTTCTCTAAATTATTAGCTATTAACGTTCAGAAAAAGCTCAAATCTATCATCCTTATTATTCTCTGACGGACACAGAAAACTTCAAACATATTGTATTATTTCTTCTACAACGTTCATATATTATTATGTTGAACTTATGTTTTCTTTCTTCTTCTTTTTTGTTCGTTCCACAGACTATTGGTTTCAATTTTATTTTTTTTTTTGTTTTCACAGTTTTCGTATTCATTAATACTTACTGTGTTGAGTGGTCATTTTTTTTTGTTAACTTATCTTCTTTTAAATGATTGTTTGTTAATTTTAATATTTTTGTGTTTTATAATTTTTTTTATTTGTAGTTTCANGTCATTTTTTTTTGTTAACTTATCTTCTTTTAAATGATTGTTTGTTAATTTTAATATTTTTGTGTTTTATAATTTTTTTTATTTGTAGTTTCATTTTTAAATACCGAACACTACAATAATTGATGTTATTTGAATTCTATATTATGTTTTTCTTCTTCTATATGTTATTTTCGTAGTGGTTTCTTCAGGACTACACAGATACTATGAATTTATTCAATTCATAATTACATGGTGTACATAAAATTATTTTATAATCTAAAAGTGTGTCAATATAGCATGACAATAAAGAGTTTATGAAATTAAATGCCTAACATTTGTACATACACAACCATAATATCAAATACATGTAATTTACCCTAACAAAAAATCAAATACAATCACCAATAGAAAAAAAGTGTTCAACAACATGATTATGATATATTTACAAAAATTTAAAGTGTATCAACACAATGTGACAAAATAGTGTAAGAGTAATAGAAACTAGGGCTTAAGAATTATACAAATTTAAAAAGTATTAATACGGTATAGCAAAACAATATAGGAGTAATATAAATTAGGCTTTATAGTGTGACTTCATAGTATTATTTTTTTGTAAAAATCCTAAATTTTAGGTTTTTATCATATTAGAACTCTTATATATATGTGTGTGTGTACACGACCAAATTAAATCTAATGTAAAATCAAAATTTTTTAATTTTAGTACTTTTTATAAGATACGATAATTTAAATACTTTAATTTTAGTTGTCAAATTTTAAAAGTTTTCAAAAATTTTGAAATATATCCCTAAAAAATTGAGAGAATTTATTATGAGTTTTGATTTTCTTAAATTTTAGGTTTTTGTTTTATTAGAACTCCTATATATATATATATATATATATATNTAGATCCACCTGAATTCGAGGCTCATATCCTGAAAAAATTGCATAAAGTCGGAAAAAACAAATGTGGATGGGTAGGCGGGTCCGGCTAAAGTTCAACCAATTTAGCGGCACAAATTAGTTTTTGATTATTGGGCTGGTTTCAGATTAAATTATTTTTAATCTTGATTTAAATTTTTATTAAAATTTTAAGTTAATATTTGAGTAAAAAACTTAATTTAATACAAAGCATTTCAATAAAGAAATTTAAATTTAATTTTAAAGGAGAGTGAAATTT